AATTCCTTCCTATGTAATGTGAATGAAAGATTCTCAATCCTACAAATTCCGAGGTGGAAATGCAATGTTCAAAGACCCACTTTAAGGAATTCATTCCAAATTCCTTGCACACTTTCAAAGGGGTTTTTTTTTTTTTTTTTTGCCCGAAATTAAAAGGGTACTTGGGTTGAACTAATTATTTAAATATAATGTGATTATTAATACTTATTATTGTTATTATTTTATAATCACTACTGATAACGGTTTGGCAGTCTTATATATACTTGTAAATTGCGATTATTAAAAATTGTTTACTTTTGACATTAATAAATAAATACTATTAATTTTGTCCCTTTTCTGACAACCCATTAAGGAAGGGGAATCCTCTGACGATGAATGTCATGAGCCGCACATGTCTGCCTGAATTCTGTATGCCGGGGTTTGCAGTCTTTTTTCACCGCGAGCGAATCCAACCGCGATTGCAGAAAGAATCTTCTTATAATAACAAAAAGGGTTTTTCATCTATAAAAATTTGATTAAATTAATATTTATTAATTTAAAATTTTTAATTTAAGATTAAATTTAAAATTTTAAAATTTTGTATTATCAAATAATTAATTTTTTAATGTATAATTTTTTTAAAAATTTATGTTATTAAAATATAAATTAAAAATATATTAATTATATATTTTTATAATTAATTTATATAAAAATATAAATTAACTTTAAATTTATCAACTATTTAATGGATTTATGATCGAAACATGAAAATTAAAAATAATATTTTTTTATAAAAATTTATTGTAAATGATATAATTAATATACCCTTATAATGCATGTTAAAAAAATCATAACAATAATAATAAATCAATTCATAAAACTAATTTTATTTTCTTTCCTAGATAAATACTTTTATCCTTCTTTAATTGTCCTTTTCTTTCTTGACAGTGTTATTATTACACCATCAATTTTTTTTAATCTTAACCATCAATTGATAATATCACACTTTTGTTAATTTAATTTATTATTATATTCTTAAAATAAAAAGATGCAGAATTCTAATAAAAGTGCAATACTCAAAAAGTAAATTAGGATTAAAGGTATAATTTTTTTGTTCAAAATAATAACATATTTAATTTGAGAGGAATAAAAGGGAGGGGAGGAGAGATGAGCACTAAGAATTTTTATTAATTAAGTTATAACATTTTAAGATTTAAAATTTTTTTTTCTCTCAAATTAAATATACTATAAAAATATTGCATTAATGATTGAAAATGAAACTTTCTTATTATATTTATTTAAAAAAAATTATTAACTTCTATAAAAATACCATTAAATTAAAACTTCATATTTAATTTTTATAGAACAAAAAGAGTAACACAATCAAATAAATACACTAACCAATAATTAATGTGTTTTGACGAATCAGGAACTCATAATGGCATGTAGAAGGTTTTAGCGAAGATTATGGAGGAGAACAAATTGTTGCATGTGATCACA